ATTGTGAGTGGGAGTTCACTCATAATTTGGCTCTCTGTTTGTATATTATTGGTGTATAGGAATGCTTGTGAGTTTTGCACATTGATTTTGTATCCTAAGACATTGCTGAAGTTGTTTATCAGTTTAAGGAGTTTTGGGACTGAGACCATGGAGTTTTCTAAATATACAATCATGTCATCTGCAAACAGAGACCGTTTGACTTCCTCTCTTCCTAATGGAATACACTTTATTTCTTTCTCTTGCCTAATTGCCCTGGCCAGAACTTCCAATACTATGTTGAATAGGAGTGGTGAGAGAGGGCATCCTTGTCTTATGCCGGTTTTCAAAGGGAATGCTTCCAGCTTTTGCCCATTGAGTATAATATTGGCTATGGGTTTGTCAAAAAAAATAGGTATTATTATTTTGAGGTATGTTCCACGAATGCCTAGTTTATTGAGAGTTTTTGGCATGAAGGGGTATTTAATTTTATCAAAGGCTTTTTCTGCATCTATTGAGATAATCATGTGGTTTTCGTCATTAGTTCTGTTTATGTGATGGATTCTGTTTATTGATTTGTGTATGTTGAACCAGCCTTGCATCCCAGGGATGAAGCCAACTTGATCATGGTGGATAAGCTTTTTGATGTACTGATAGATTCAGTTTGCCAGTATACTATTGAGGATGTTTGCATCAATGGTCATCAGGGATATTGGCCTGAAATTTTCTTTTTTTGTTGTGTCTCTACCAGGTTTTGGTACCAGAATGATGCTGGCCTCATAAAATGAGTCAGGGAGGAGTCCCTCTTTTGCTCTTGTTTGGTATAGTTTCAGAAGAAATGATACCAGCTCCTCTTTATACCTCTGGTAGAATTAGGCTATGAATCCATCTGGTCCTGGGCTTTTTAAGTTGGTAGTCTATTAATTACTGCCTCAACTTCAGAACTTGTTATTGGTCTATTCGGGGATTTGACTTCTTCCTGGTTTAGTCTTGGGAGGGTGTATGTGTCCAGAAATTTATCCATTTCCTCTAGATTTTCTAGTTTCTTTGCATGGAGAGGTTTACAGCATTCTCTGATAGTAGCTTGTATTTCTGTGGAATAAGTGGTGATATCCTTTTTATCATTTTGAATCGCATCTATTTGATTCTTCTCTATTTTCTTCTTTATTAGCCTGACTAGGGGTCTACCTATTTTGTTTATCTTTTCAAAAAACCATCTCCTGTATTCATTGATTTTTTTTTTTGAAGGGCTTTTCCTTTCTATCTCCTTTAGTTCTCTTCTGATCTTTGATATTTCTTATCTTCTGCTAGCTTTTGAATTTGTTTGCTCTTGTTTCTTTATAATTCCCTATTTAATAAATGGTGCTAGGAAAATTGGCTAGCCATAAGCAGAAAAGTGAAACTGGACCATTTCCTTATACGTTATACAAAAATTAACTCAAGGTGGATTATAGACTTAAACGTCAGACCTAAAAGGCAATACGATTCAGGACATAGTCATGGGCAAAGATTTCATGACTAAAACACTAAAAGCAATTGCAACAAAATGTGAAATAGACAAATGGGATCTAATTAAACTAAAGAGCTAGTGTTCAACAAAATAAACTATCATCAGAGTGAACAGGGAACCCACAGAATGGGAGAAAATTTTTGCAATCTATCCATCTGACAAAGGGCTAATATCCAGAACATACAAGGAACTTAAGCAAATTTACAAGAAAAAAAAAACCATCAAAAAGTTGCAAAGGATATGAACAGACACTTCTGAAAATAAGACATTTATGCTGCCAACAAACGTGAAAAAAAGCTCACCATCACTGATCATTAGAGAAATGCAAATCAAAACCACAATGAGATACATCTCACACCAGTTAGTATGGTGATCATCAAAAAGTCAGAAAACACCAGATCCTAGAGAGGATGTAGAGAAATAGGAATGCTTTCACGCTGTTGGTGGGAGTTTAAACTAGTTCAATCATTGTGGAAGACAGTGTGGTAATTCCTCAAGGATCTAGAACCATAAATACCATTTAACCAAGCAATCCCATTACTGGATATATACCTATGCACAGGTATGTTTATTGCAGCACTGTTCACAATAGCAAAGACTTGGAACCAACTCAGATGCCCATCAGTGATAGACTGGATAAAGAAAATGTGCCACCTATACAGCATGGAATACTATGCAGTCATAAAAAATAATGAATTCACGTCCTTTTTAGGAACACGGATGAAGCTGGAAACCATCATCCTCAGCAAACAAACACAGAAACAGAAAACCAAACATCACATGTTCTCACTCATAAGTGGGAACTGAACAATAAGAACACACCTACAAAGGGATGGGAATGTCACAACTGGGCCTGTCAGGAGGTAGAGGGCAAGGAGAGGGAGAGCATTAGGACAAATACCTAATGCATGCAGGGCTTAAAACCTAGATGATGGGTTGATGTGTGCAGCAAACCACCATGGCACATGTTTACCTATGTAACAAACATGTACATTCTGCACATGTATCCCAGAACTTAAAGCATAATAAATAAATTGAAAAAAAGGAAATAAAATATGTAAAACATTTTTAAAAGATAAGAAAGATCAATGAGAGAAAAGGGACAAAGAGGAGGTATTTACTTTACCAGTTCAGTATTATACTGCACAACCATAGTCACAAAGACAGTTAAATATTGACATTTACAAAAAAAATGGAACAGACAAGAAAGCTCAAGAAAATATCCAAGTTTTTGTGGAAGCTTGATGTGTAAGAAAGGTGGCATCACAAATGAATGTGGAAAGAATTCAATGTTTAGCAGAGTATACTGGGAAAATTCCCTCTACATATGAAAACAATAAAATCAGAGCTCTGCTTTTCACCGTATAGAAATGTGAACTAGGGCCGGGTGCGGTGGCT